CTCGCCTTCTGTTTCTGGGTGTTCCACTCTGGATGCTCTGTGCGTTGGCGTGCGACGGTCTTCTTGAAGTCGAGGACGATATCGCGAGGAAGCAACTTGAGCAGGATGGGGTAGAACATCGCGGCGTGATTGTCCTCTGATACGGCGAGAGCCTTGAGGGCACGCGTCTAGGTTTGGACCACGTCATAAACGCATCAAAGTCCTTGAAGATAGGGTTGCATGGCGATGAGTCGCTGCATGTGAGCCTTAATGATGACGTCGGTCTTAGTGAAGCGTTGTTTTAAAATGCCCAGGGCTTCTGAATAGCAGCTTGCAGTTGCTGGAAGTCCAGCGATAGCCGATGCTACGTAACCGGTCAGAACCGAACGTAGATGTGCGAACCGGTCTACGGCCAGTGAGCCCATCGTTGTTGTGCATCAGTTGACTAAACTGCTCCCAAAAAGGCGTCCACACTGAAGGTTGACCATCGAACTTCATGAGGTCGATTTTCGCAAGTTGGATGGCGGCCTGGGGCGTGCGTGACACCGGTTCTGTAGGTGTTGCCGGTAGTGCATGGTTCTCAGAATCTTTACGTTGGCGTATACTTCAGCTTCGCTGACGTGGTTGTGGCTGCATCGTTGTATTCCATAACCAAGTCAAACTCTGCCTCTGTTTCCGTGGTTGAAAGCAGAGGGATGATGTCGGAGTCAGTGGTCTTCAAGTCGGTGCGAAGCTGGTTGAGGCGTTTGTTTAGAACACAGAGCTCCTCTTCCATAACACTTTCTTAGGTGAGCGTTGCCTCTGCCTCGTTTATAACGCATGTTAATTGGGCTCACTCATATTTACGCTTCAGTTTGAGAGCTTCTATGTTTCATCGGCGCGTTGAGCAGCTGTAAGTCGGTCAGTCGAATCCGTAAGCGGGGAGCCGGTTACATTGGGTTCATTGACAGAGTTCTTCTGTCCCGATGGTTTTCGGCACCAATTAAAAAAAATCGAGTCTCCCGTTGAGTAGCAATAGGGATTTATTTACAATAAACCGCAGCCCGACTTCATGGGTTGCTGCTGTAGCGCGCTAATTCAAGGCAAGCACACCGTCGTTATCTTCAATCTTTTTCAAACAGCATCAGCACGTGAGATGTAAGCATCCTCACGTGATGAAGTCTCTATGATTAAGTCGCCAAGGTTTGTGAGGTCACTTCGATGTCTATTGATGACATCAAATGAATGGTCAATGCGGGTGAATTTCGGAGGAACGCCGAGATTGGATAGATGAATGGATGGACGAACGAATGAACGGGTGGATGGGTGGACGTACAGACGAAAGGACGGACGGAGGGACGGACGGGTGGATGAATAGATGGACGGACAGACAAACGGGCGGGTGGACGGACGGACTGATGAGTGGGTGAATGGATTTGGCTGTGCCCTTTAGATCTGGTGGTGGCTCACTATGTAATGTCACTATGTGCTTAAGGATTGAATTTCACTTGCACCTTGATTGTAGCAACCAATCAGTTTGCCTCTACCTGGTAATTTTACCCGTTTAATGTCTATTTTTCGTTCACTGTCTCAAAACTACAATGCTTTGAAAAATTCTGCGCCATTATTTTGGACTTTACAGTAGAGACCTTTACAGAATATTCTCAAATGTTCAGCCGTTTCTTCCTCCTTTCCGCGCGCACTACACTACATGTCTATGCCTTCGTATTTGGCTCGGTACGTCTTGGTCCGCAATACTCCCGTTCTAGACTCGAAGAGCAGAGAACTACCCCGAGAATTATCGTAGATATTGTGCAATTTCCTGCTTAAACGCTCGATAGGTCTCCAGAGATGATTTCATAAGCATTCCAATCTTCACATGTCCTTCTCTTACCTTCACCTTTACTCTCCTATTTATCTCAATAACTCCTCGAATTCCATCTTGCTGCTAGCTTCCCTGCACTCAAACGATGTTCATCCCATGTCACCCTGTACCCCCTGATTTGGGATATTCCCGTGTGCTTCCAAAGCAAGTCTACCTATGCAACGTTGTTTAATTTCCAATCTCTCTTGAACCTCTGATTTCAAGCGCAAGATCGCATTACCAAACGTCAAACCAGGGACCATGACACCTTTCCGAATCCCTCTCACAACATACTATTGTAGTTCCACCCGAGCCCTATTTTTCATTACAGCTGCATTCTGTTACCCTTAGTCATTACACTCTAAAAAAAGAGCGAGTAAGAAGGGTGTCCTTTTGTCCCACAACAATAATCGTCATCTATATTGCGTTCCATCCTTGCGCTATCGCCCGCGCCCGGTACATTCCGGTCACGATCGACATGCCCATTATAAGGGTTACATTGCATTCTCGATAAGAAAGTGGCCAGCGCCGAGTTTTCAAGAAAGGAAGCGCACGCAAGCCTGATGACGATTATTGTTGCGAGACAAAAAGACACCCTTTTTACTCGATATTTTTTTAGAGTGTAGGTCCCTTTCGTGCTCCCGTAGATACTCAGCCCCGTTGTTTATCCATACGCCCAAACATTTGTATTTATCCACTATTTCTAGCGCGACTTCCTGTATCTTATGCTCACTGCCTTTGCAATCATTAAAATAGCAGAGGGACGGAGGAGTCGGTGGCCTTGTGTGAAGCTGGTTGAGGCGTTTGTCCAGAAGGCAAAGCTCCTGTTCCATAACACTTTCTCGAGTGAGCGTTGCTTGTGCCTCGTTTATAACGCGTGTTTATAAAAACCACAGCTCAAACACCCCCTGCTGTACAAAATAAAAAAAACGATAGGAAGGATAAGATGAAAGCTCGAGGTCAAACATCTGTAAACAGGGGTTGCGTCGAGTCGACCTTTCGACAAGAGGACTCAGAGCTAGAACAGATGTTATGTTCGGACAAGTACACTTGTCGAAACGTCGGTTCCACACAACCCCTGCAGTACAAGACCGTACTCGAGGCCAAATGTGTGCTGCATGTGAAGAGCTGCCGCGCCTCGCAGCAGATCACACATCGATGGAACGCAAAGAAGCCCGTTTGCGATAAAGAAGTCAAAATCGCTGAACTGCAACTGCTGCTATATCTACTCGCCATGTGTACAGATAAGGGGCACGACGTGAACTGAAGTGACGCAAGGATGGTATAAACATTTCATCCATTAGATGTATAACATTTAGCTTTATGACATGCGCACAGAAAACTAGCACGTTCAAACAACGCCCGTACGCTTAGTGCAATTGTTTGATTGCGGTGCAAAAAGATTTTGCCTGTCATTGTACACATCAAGTGCAAATATCGCCCCTCACCCCACGTGAATATGGTATTTAGTGTGTAGTGACACGTACCCCGAAGGATTAAGGCCACTAGCGTGGCTCAGGTCTTAGCGAGCCGCAGGGCACGCGTTAACCATCGCCCTGGCGAAAACACGATACTGCTCACGGTCGCAACACTTTATTGCCTGCAGCAACACTAAAACGCAGTACAAAGCCCGTTGCAAAGGCGCGGCGGGAACGAAAATGGGCTTATCCACGCAACGGGCGAGAAGTAGAACACAGTGGTGCCACGAGCTCGTTGCCGAGGTAAAAGTGACTCACAGAGACACTGGGACAAAGGCGTGGTTGCTCGAGCGAGGGAAAAGGCGCTCGCGTTGGCTTCGGAGAGATACGGGTCGGCGCAGTTTGACCACGCACTAAGACACTGTACAGCTCTTCGGCCTAGCGTTCGGAAGAAGGGCGACATAAGGTAAGCGTTCACCGCGGACACGAGGCGCTGTTGGCAAAGTCTGAACGAGCCCCAAACAAAGGGAGCCGACGGACAAAAAATAAAGGCGTGATTACCCCCATGTCGTCCTTGGAGAGGTCTCTCTCACTCCCGACGCGTGCGCGCGACACCTCTCGGGAGACCCTGCGCGCGGCGCCACAGTCGACATCCGCTACATTGTGAGAGGGGTTAAGCGTCACTCCTCGCTCTCTCAGCACAGCAGACAATGGGGGGGGGGGGGAGTCATGTCGGGAGATGTGAACGGAGAAAGAGGAGGCCAAGCCCGCGCGAAGGCGGTGGGCTAACCTCGACACCGACAACTGACATAGAAAATGCGGGAATAGAATACGCCGTCCTGAAGTCCCCGCACTAGTTGGCCTCCCATGACGTTGTATAACTTTTCGGCGCTGCTAGGGCAATTTTTAAATGCGAATGCATTTCTTAGTCAGGCTATGTCAGATATCCGGCGTTGTCCACGGTGGTGTCCACGTGCCGGCAGGTGTTATTTTTCCGCTCTCATTCTCTCTCCCATAGCAACACCTGCGGGCAGGCGCGCTTATCATCTTCGCGCCTAGCAACCAGAGCATGTGGCGCGAGAGAGTGTAGGAGAGGGTAGTTGCAGTGCTTCGCCGCTAGTTTTCTAGTCATTCGCTTTCTCTCCTTCTTGTGCCCCACTCACCGTCCACTCGCGCCTCACCGTTCGCTCGCTGGGCGCCTCTCAAGGCGATGGCAGAAATCGGTGAAGGCGAGCGTGTGACGGCAACGGTACCGTCTCTTTTTGCAAGTAATGCATTTGCATTTTCTTTCGATTCCATTCGGGGAGGTGGAGGCATTTCTTCATCGGTAATTATTTTGTTCTGGAGCCTTAACGCTGTTAGTTTAAGAAAACTCTATTCAACCAATGTAGCCAAAACACACAAAACTGAAATCTGTTACGTCACTGACGTGTTGACGTATCAGCGCGAAGCTGAAGCATGAATTCTTGACTCTCATTCTACACATAATTAACCTACGAACTGTATTGACAATTACTGTATTGACGTGATGTAAGAAGATGTTGGGGCACAACGTAGGCGCCGGCTAATCTTTACCTTTTAGAGGTATTTAAAACACAGCACGCACGGTTAAAGTTTCTAAGCGTAAAATATTCACAGCACGTACAAAATACAACTATCACAACACAATACATTGCGATTACACTAATGACAATACTGTTCTGGAGCCTACCCGTCTAAACTGTTTCCCGTCCCTCTAAACGAAAAAAAAAAAAACTTACCAAATCGCTCAGGCACTGGCTTGAGATAGCGACGTCCGCGAAACTCATTGAGGCGTAAGCTGAGTATGCCAGGGCCAGCCAAACTTCTGGCTGCCCGATGTCGCCGTCGAAAATAGCGTAAAGGGATACGCACAGCACCAGTATGAGACACGCTGCCCAAACAGCCAGAGCCGGGTGCCAAACTTGATTGAGCGAGAGCTTGAGTTTCTTGATGAGGGAAAACCTGAGCCGGACCTGTTCCACGTGCCAAGGCGTCCTGCAGCTGCGCAGGGTAGCCAGCTCCGCGCGCAGGTACTCGGCCAAGACAGCCGAGCACGAGCTGAGGACCACGTAGGCCAGGGAGTCATAGAAAAGGAAGACGAACAGCGTGAAAGAGCTGCACACCAGGACGGGCACGCGCATGCTGCTGTCCTGCTGCGTCGTGCTGCCCGCGTAGATGGTCATGCCCAGGCCGTACACGACCACGAGCACCGCCAAGCTGGCTACCTTTCGGATGCGAACGCTTCGGCTGTCGGCGTTCTCGAAAGACGCGGATTTCTCGTAGGCTTCCGAGTCACGCAGGAACCGCAGCAGCCTGGATGAGCCCAGTGTCATGCAGGTGAAGTTTAGAACGATCTTGACGGTCACCACGTTGTTCAATATAAAAATGAGGGACTTGGTGAAGGAGTGTGCTATCTCGGACGACAGAAACACCTTAAATATGAACACGGCCGACAGTGATGTGCTGAACAGTATCCACACTGCAGAGTAGAAAGTGTACGCACTCATTATGCGAACTTTGCCCCTCGTGAGTGATCGGTCACAAAAATTCTGTATGAAGAGACATCCGAACAGACGGCTCAGCATCCCGCACTTCCACAACTGCTTCATCATGAGCGAGCCCGTGTCCTCCTTTTTCCGGCCTGCTTCCCATCGGTCACGCATCTTCTCCTGTCTGCCTGCAAGAAAAACAGCGAACTTTCTGGCACTTACATTCATAACACTAAACACTTACTAATTCTGAAAAAAAAACGATGCTGCATTTGGTTGAAACTGGCAATGCCCTCTCCGTTACAAACACACCCGTGCGAAGCTCCCGGCAAATGACTTTAGGCTGTTAATATTCGGTGTAACATTTTGCCCGAGAGATTATCTACCCTGTACAGGCACAAACGCCACTCGGAAAGCAATCAATCTGTTAAGACCTTCTCGAAGCATATCACTTCACGTATTGCGGCTTGAATCAAATAGCGCAGCTGGTACGTGCCACTTGCGTGCGCGCAGAACTTTGTCAGTAATCAGGGCACGAGAGGGTGCGACCAAACTGCATTAAAAAGCTTACCATACACACAAGTGAAACATATACTGGTTGAACATTTCTCACAACACTCGGTCACTATGAAGAATTTAAGAGATCGCAACGTGTACCACCGTCTCTTGAGAGCAATGATACACGTAAATACCACACCCAAAAACGTGCATCCGGAATACAGTAAATAGAGAAGACGAGATAGTGGGGCTTCACTACGAAAAATACAGGCGAAGACCGAAAATGAGGAAATAGAGAACGCGCGTAATACAAGAGATGTGGTGCTCGTGTCCCTGGTCAGAGAAATAACAGCTACATCCACACCAGCCAGAAGATAATGTGAAGGGATAGTCGCCATAGGAATGGCGAACAGGAGAACACGTGCCGCGCATCCTCGTCATAGACTCGCATGCAGCCTGTCGCCTTTTCAGGGTAGTAAGAATAGGCTCAACCGCATTCAACATAATAAAGAGCGGGACATCTCTGACACGTTTCGCTTGGACCCTGGACGGGGCACGAATCTGGTGGGAAGCCAAGTGACTCACGCTGCCGCCTGGGAACGAGCGAGCCCACCAGGACATCGTCTGCCGCCAGAACTATATCAAAAGATGCAAAAAAGTTACCACGCCGCGGAGGTAGAGTGCTTATACGGTGCTCGGCTACGGTCCAAGCAAGGGACATGGGGCGTACCTCACGCTCAGTGCTCATTCACTTCATGGCTGAGGAACTTCCTCCGTCAGTCAAAATGTTTGGCATCCTCTGCGCCGTTTTCAACTTTCGACCGCAGGTGGAAGCGTGCCTAAACTGCAGACAAGTCGGCCACCGACGAGATGTGTGTCCTTTGCCAAATCGCCTCACTTGCTCACGCTGCGGACAGAAACACCCGGAAGACTATCCCTGCACCCCGCAGTGCGTCATCTGTGGGGACGCTCACAAGACAGGTGACAGGGCATGCAAGCAACGCTTTCAGCGTGGCTTCAGCCGTCTCTCTCGGCCACGACAAAGGCCGCAATAAGAGCACCAGCAGGAGCAGCCCGAGTTCCAGCTCGTGAAGGAGTTTTTTATCAAGCATCGACGATAGAAATCGTAGCAGCAGAAGCAAGAGTCCTGGACGAAACCGTAGCAGCAGAAGCAGGAGTCCTGGACGAAACCGTGGCAGCAAAGGCAAAAGCCCTGGACGAAGTGCATCACAAAGCTGCGACTTCAGCACCAAGCCTGAAAAGGTGAGCTGGGCAAAGCAAGCCTCCTGCTCCTGTTGTATGCTCTCTGACGCTAAAGAAAATTCTAAAACTCAAGAGACTATCGAACGTCTAATGCGAGAGAATCAAGAGTTAAAGCAACAGTTGGCTCTGGTGTTGGAACGTTTAAGTACACTTACAGCTACCCCACCCGCGTCTTCTCCACCCCTATCCATCTCCCCCTCTGTCATAGAGCCTGATATGGCAGCCGAGTCAGGGACCGATATTATAGATTCCTCTTCACAGCCAGCAAAAAAGAAAAGGACAGAGCAACCCGAGTCATCGGAGGATGATTTTAAAAGCACCAGTCAAAAAATTCGGAAAGAACACCGGGAACTCAAATAAAAGGTTGATTTAGGCTTTACGCAAATTGCTGAACGCTTCAATAAGATAGAGAGTATTCTATACGTTTTAGTTCCACGGCTCGAATCTCTCCCACAATCTCAACCCTCTCCAGCGCCTTCACAGCCATAATCAAACTGATTGAGACGTGAACTCGGGTACAAACTCGCTGATTCTGAGAAGGCCCCAGTTCAACTCGTGACTGTCATGGTGCCGATATGACTGTCAAGCGTTTCATGCGGTGGACGCTACTTTCATATTGTTACGAGAAGGAGAACGACTGGGAGGAGTAGTCACAGATATATTTACAGCCGGTTAAGCGAGCAGCGCCAGCCGCAGGGATCATCTCGCGCCAGTCTATCTACTTTGTCTTCCTCATCTCCGTGCACTGGCACCTAGCATAACCCCCGGCGGCGGAGGCACCATCCTGGTGCTTTAAAGGTCGTTATGTGACGCATTCTTGTAGGGCTCGATCCGCGAGACGTGTGCAATATCACTGGACCGCACAGCTGATGATGATGGATAGATGGGGCTGATCTCATAGGTGACAGGTGTTACTTGACGCAGTACACAGTAAGGCCCCGTGTAATGAGACAAAAATTTTTCTGACAGGCCCAGCCGACGATGAGTGGATCATAGTAAAACGAGAGTACCGGGAGCGAAATGTACGTCTCTATGTTCCGCATCGTACCGACGGCATAGGTTGGTTTGCGACGCCATAAGCCGAGCGCGGGCGACCTGACGGGCTCATTCGACTCGCGCAATCGCATTGCTGGCATACTCGTGGTGGACGAGGTATGAGCTGAGATGGCTGTGTCCAGTAGTAAAGTAGGCTCTCTTCCGTACTATAAGTAGAACGGCGAAAAGCCAGCTGTGTCGTGATGGGATGAATTATATCCGAAAGTTGCGTAGTAAAGCGCGGGACAGACGTGCGATTTTCTCTGCGATTCGGCGTGCGGTGCGACTGCCGGAGTGGTGTCGTTACGTGACGTATCATCGCGTCGCACCGCCGCATAGCAGGTGCTGCGAGCATCAAACCAGCCAGATATTTTCATCGCAGCATCGCACCGCAGCATGGCAGCATGGCAGCAGCCAATGACAGCGCGAGCTTACGAGTGGCGTCACGATGCTAGCGGCACCATCTCCCTGTCGCCGCTCCCATCACCCATGGTCCAAAGCTCCAGGCGAGTTGATGGAGCGGTGCGAGCGTGGATTTGCTGACGACGGCCGGCGCCCGCGATGCTACGCCTACCTGTCGGAGTCGTGAATAACCAGCTTTTGCCGTGGTTACGGCGTGCTTGTCGTTCACGAATGCGATTTATTAATTATTTTTCTAGAACGAAGCGTGACTGTGCAATGTTGTTTGTTTTGAGCCTCATTACGAGGATACCAAGTCGTTCGACCCTGCATGCCGAGGCGCCGCATGGGGGCGGAGCCTGCCGCTGATAGCTCCTTTGCCCTCGTGTGTCCCTAAACGTCGCATGCGGCACGCCGCACCATGCGATGCCGCACGCCGCATTGCACGGAAAATCGCACGTCTGTCTCACGCTTTAGGCAAGGTCCCAGTCTCGGTTGGGCGACACGTACATAGCGAGCATATAGAGTATATATTGCCACCATTGATGAACGAGCCATTGTGGCTCATACGCGTTTTTGGGCGCGAAGAAGAAGAGAACATCTTCGTTGCTCTGGTTCAAGTGAACTCCTGGCTGCAGGTCTTGTTTTGTTCGTGACATTACTGGTGGAGACGCTGGGTACGTGTACTTCGGCTGTGTCGGCCATCGTGGAGACAGCTACATCTCCCAGAGCAAGAATCAGCCGCCGCCTGCGTGGGTTACCCCCTGAATTTGGTCCCTTAGCATCGACACCCAGAAAGATGGCAACTGCGATGACAAGCCAGGCGGTCCAAACCAGCGATGGCCATGATTCGCTTCTCGCCCATGTTTTTCACGTGCCACAGACACCAAAGCCGTTCCATGGAGACATCTTCGAGGATGTTGACGACTGGCTAGACCACTTTGAACGGGTTGCCAGTATCAACGAATGGGACGATGTTCGCAAGCTGCGCCGAGTTTATTTCTACTTGGAGGATTCTGCGAAGACGTGGTACGAGAACCACGAGGGCTCCTTTGCAACATGGCAAGAGTTTAGCCGACAGCTCCGTGACGCCTATCGCAACACCGAAAGGAAGGAGAGGGCCGAACAAGCCATATCCAGCAGAAACCAACGGCCGAACGAACGTGTATCCATGTTTGTCGAGGACATGCTTCGACTCTTCAAGCGCGCGGACCCTGCCATGCCTGAGGAAAAGAAGGTGCGCCATTTGATGCGCGGATTAAAAGAACAGCTTTTCGCTAGGCTCGTGCGCAATCCACCGACGACAGTCGGCCAGTTCATCAGTGAGGCAGCTACGATGGAACGTACGCTGCAGCAGCGGTCGTCACAATACGAACGCCAGATCCCGGCCACCACATGCTCTATCGGCTCTGACAGCGAGAGACAGACCCTCGCAGACATTATTCGAAGTATCGTTCGGGACGAATTGCGACAGTTGCAGGCAGTGGGATCCCATCCACCCGTGTCAGCCCTCGCGGATGTAATCAGACAAGAAGTCCGGCAGGCCGTCACACCTCTAGCCCCAATCGCACCGCCGATTCCCGAGGCCCCAGTCCTGACATACGCAGCGGCATTGCGATCCCCTGCGCCACCGGCTACAGATACTGCTATGCGGCCAAAGTACCAGGCTATGCAGCCATTCCACGACACTGTTTCAAGCCCACCTCTCGGCTCAAGGTTTTCGAGCCCACCCACCTAACCGCCGTCCCTCTCAAGACAAAGTGGTAGCAAGGCAAGCACGTGGCGCACCTCGGATAACCATCCGCTCTGCTATCACTGTGGCGAAGCGGGTCACGTATACCGGAACTGTCAATACCGGCAACTAGGTCTCCGCGGCTTCCACCCTGATGCTCAATGCCCGCGCTACGGTGAGCGCCCCCGCGAAATTGAAGCCGATCTCACGGGCCAACGTACTCCTTCGACTATTCGGCACCACCAGCCAAGGCGATGGCATCACCATCGCCTCGCCGTTCTACGTCACCCAGTTTGCCCTCATCGTCTTCTACTCCTTT